TAGAGGTCTAAATCCCCAAGGGTGCATCCCTCTCCCAACTAAATTATAAACTCCTGAAAAAAAGAAACCAGGTGTTACATATGTTTATGTGTGCCCCAGCACCCAACACAATGCCTTGCAAATAGGAGACAGAATAATAGCTTTGGAAATGAAAATAACTTCATTCCTCTACTTAAAAATGTTTTAGGAAATTTCTGTGATCTTGAAGGTAGCCTCAAGGCCATTCATGATCCAGCCCATGCTGACCTCTCCAATAACATTTCTCAGCACTGTGCTGTAAGCTCCAGGTGCACTGGCTTGCAGTCACCAAAAGCACCATACTCCTCCCTTTTGGCCTGAGCTCTTTAAGCTACTCTGAGCTACTCGGGGAACCTTTTCCTCATGGCCATTTTGTGTTCCCTTTGTACCCTGTGCTTCCTTCTACCTCTGCACATAGCACATCTATCAGTAATTGTCTGCCTAGCTTTACACTGAGTGTGTTCATGGGACAGCATGATATTCCTGGTACTTGGCACATAGTAGACACTCAATAAAAAGTTGTTGAATTTATGTATATGTAAATGTTTGCTTGGTAACTGATCATGTTATGGGTCCTGGGAAGGTGAAGGAGGTGAGTTGTTTGTGTTTGAATATTTAGAGTCACAGCTACTTTGGAGACACAGAGAAGTAAGAAAAAAGGGAAGATCTATAAGGCATGTATAACAGCTAACAGCTATTCAAAGAAGGGAGAAAAGAAAAAGGGCACTATTTACAGACTGTTATGGAAAAGAAGTGCTGAAAAGGAGGAGTAGCAGATAAATGAATATCTAAATGGGGAATAGACCCCATAAATGAAATACCATCAGGGGACAGCCCATCACTGCTGTAGACATTTTCTCTTATCAGTTACCAGTTCTGATACATGTCTAGCTCACCTGTAAAAACTTGCCATGCCTAGACTCAGGCCCAGTGTAGATGAAGGCAAAATTTTTGTAAAGAGAAAATTCTATACTGGATCCCACCTCAATTCAATACAGACCTATTTTCTTATTTCAACTGCAGAGTATGAGAAGCAGCTTTTCAGGCTGAGAATAGAGGACCTTTTAACAAAAGGATTCATCCACGTGTGTATTATACAGCCATTTTTGGGATGGGTTGTGGCAAGGGCGGAATAGTTGAATGTTGTTCTGCAGATGGTGAAACCTGACAATGAGTTCAGTCAATTCAATCTGCACTAAGGACCAAGATGTGCTGGTAACGGGAATCCTGACTTGTAACAGAGTAGGAACAGCCAAGAACCTCCAAAGCCTCCATTTTGGTGCTTACCCTCCTGGTTTCCATAGCGGGCTTCTTTATGTTGGGGCCTTGGCTAGAAGTCTCCATCTTGGCCCTGAGTTTGAGAGAAAAAGCCCAGGAAATGTTACTGGCAGAGGCAATATTACTACATTCAAGCAAATGTGGCCCAAATGAATATTTCATCAGGTTGGCTATTTTTATACCATTTCTGGCCAGGAAGATAAATTGTGTGGCCAAATTTTCTTTGGGTGCTGCTTTAATTCACAGTAGAATCCCAACTTGAGACACTGGGGTTTGAGAAAGGGAAAACTTGATTGACAGCAGGTATCGGATTTTGAAATACTTGATTGTGCATTGAAACCCAGAGAAAGAAAAGATCTGAGGCCTCTTCTCTACACAAAATTCAGTCAAATGGAACAGAGCAAAACTTCACACTTGCAAGTACTCTCACATTTCACCTGGCTTGGAAAGGAGTTCCCTAACTGTTCAACTACATGTGCATCTGGAGGGCCTGGGGTCAGCTTCCTGTGGTCTACCCTCGCTGCCCCTGTATGTCTAGGGGCCCACAGAGTCCCAGGAAAAGAATGGCAGTTCTCTGTGAAGCTGGGGTGAAAGCATCTTGGGCTGGGGAGCAAACCACACCTTGGATTATTCCAGCAGCTCTCTCTAGGATGCTGATAACAATGACTGAATTGTTTTACTGACTCATTTTATCCCTGACAGAGAATCAAAAGAAGAACGTAAGTAGCCTCTACAATAGCAGCTTCAACATATTAGGGATGTGCTCAATATTCTCTTTAATATTACAGCACCTCACCCAATAATTGATACATACCCTCTTGCAAACATTTATATTTTAGCCTGGACTGGACTGCCTCTTAAGTTTCCAAAAGCTTACTGCTCACTGGGTAAAACAGAATTATATTTTATTTGTTCTTACTCTTTCAAGGGTTTCCATATGTTTTTGTATAATATTCTGAGACATCACAAGTCTTGTGCCTTCTCATGGTCCTACCACAGTAAGTACTAACAGAATGTGTTGAATTCAATTGTTTGATTGTATTGAATACAATTGTCTGATTGTATTTCCTCTCAGCCTTCATCTTGATGAATACAACAATTCTACTTTGCTGAAAAAGGGACTATTTTCAAATTATATCACAAATATCAATTTGCTTCCTTTCCTTAGTCCACCTCTTGGAATAGGCAGGTACTGATTAAGCCCCCAAAAAGCGAGTGACTTGCCCAAGGATGGGATCAACCAGCAGCAATAGCTAGCAAAGCCTAACTAGGATGCAGGAGTTAGCCTCTCTCCCACACCACTGACCTGTGCAGCCCCGGCCCGCTGGGGGAGCTGGGCTCTTCCATGTGTTTTCGTTTCCTCATCATGGCTCCTACTGCTTTCTTCTCAGCTAGGACCTTGAAAGAGGAACCAGACTTCTGTGACTCCTCCTTTTCTAGAGTTGCCCACAGTTCCTGAGGGCACAGTGAAGAGAACTGCCAAAGGCAACTTTTAACCCCAGCTTTAAGCTGCCAAAGGCAACTTTTAACACCAGCTTTGTAAGTAGGTATGGACATTCTGTTACAGACATGGTCTCAGAAATCTAGCCAAGGGGGAAAATATGGTCTTATGTTTACAATTCTGATGGGACCTGGGCAGCAACTGAGGGGCAAA